TAATAAGATTCATTTAAAAATCAAAATAGATAGAATAAGTTAAAAATTAATATTGTGATATTATAATTACGAAATATATGAATAATTTAATTAATATTTAATAACCAATTATAAAAAATTTAAACCATAACTTTTTGATAATTCTTTTTATCACTGATTAATAACGTAACAATCTAGAATGTTCAAAATCTAACATTAACTTCTTCAAAATAAATAATTTCTCAACTAAAATCATAACTTTCAACTAAACTAAAGAAAATAAAAAAAATGAATTAATGATTTTTATATTTTTTTTATAATAGTTTGTTTTTTGATTTTTTATTACTATATAATGTGTTTATATTGTTAATTTATTATTTAACCGCTACCATTTTATCAATTATAAATATTCTACAAACATATTTTTTTTTGTTTACCGATGCGTTAGTAGTATGACTTGTTTTATAACATGTGAAATCGTAACCGGCTGTTAACTTTTGCACCCTAAACTGCTTAAACCAATCAAATCTTAAATTGAAAATAGCACAGTACAGCTAAGTTGATTTTGTCTTTTGGCCTAATTTCCAACTTTATGGGTTGTTATGCATTGCAAATAGTCATTTAAAAATTCAAACGACGAAACGTAATGGACAGTACAGTACTCCTTTTTTCAAAAACGAGTAACTTAGACCATCCACGTTGCACATAAAATATGGATGTCTCTAAATAAAAAAATATTAAAAACACACTCTCTCTTTTTTTACTCAACTTTATACCTTCTCTTTCATCATTTTATTCAACTTTTATTAATTTTATATTTAAACACACTCCCATTTTCATCCATTCTCTCTCCAACTTTGTCTTCCCATACATCCCAAAAGACATCCTCTCTCCAATAATACCCACTATCTCATCTTTTTACTCAAATTTTATTAATTTTATATTTCAATACACCCCATTATTTCAACCAAAAACACTCTCTTTCTTCCTTTTACTTAACTTTTAATAATTTTATATTTAAAGACACCTACAAAATATAACCAATGCGGATGCTCTTAGTTGTCTTTGGCGTAAACTCTGTCTGATTCTGTTGATTTGCGAAAGTCTACTTTGATGGCTCATTTTAGAAAATGGGGTTCAATTTTGTCATTTTAATACATTTGAAGCTTATTAAAGTAAACACACTCTATATCCAAAATGTTTTTAGTATCTTTATTGTTTGTACAGATACAATAAGCTCGACTTATCAAACAAACTAAACTAAACAACAACCCAGAAGAAAAAGAAAGAGAGAGAGAAAGATATGATGATTAAATGCCAATCTTATCCCTTTTCTTGTTTCGTCACCATCTCTTTCTTCTTCTTTGTTTCCCACACTCTTGCTTCTCCTACGTTCCAAAGGGATGCTCTTCTGGAGTTCAAAAACGAGTTTCCGATCATTGCACCGGACCCAAATGATCTTCTTGATCGACCTTTAAGTTCGTGGAACACGAGCAGTGATCACTGTTCTTGGGAAGGTGTCACATGCGATGGTAAATCCGATGAGGTGATATCACTCGACCTTAACATCCCTCTCAACGGCTCTTTGAAATCAAACTCTAGTCTTTTTAAACTCCAACATCTTCGTCACCTGACCCTCTTTGGTTGCAATCTCATAGGAGAGATTCCTTCTTCACTAGGAAACCTTTCTCATCTCATAGATCTTGACCTTTCTTATAATCATTTGGTAGGTGAAGTTCCAGCTTCCATAGGCAACCTAAGCCAACTAGCATCCTTGAGTCTTTCCTCAAACAACTTGAGTGGTAACATTGCTATTTCATTTGCTAATCTCAACAAGCTTTCCTCTTTGGACCTCTCCCAAAATCAATTCACCAGTGGAGATTTCCCTCGTATACTTCCAAATTTAACCAGCTTATCCAGATTACTCCTTAGCGATAATCACTTCAAAGCCACCCTTCCAACTGACATGAGTGGACTCCAAAACTTGGAGGAATTAGATGTGAGTGGAAACTCTTTTTCCGGTAATTTTCCTTCATCCTTGTTCACTCTTCCTTTGTTATATATTGTTGGCTTGAGGGAAAACCAATTCGAGGGACCTTTAAAGTTTGGAGAAACATTCTCGTTTAACAATCTAGACCTTGCTCATAACAATTTCTCCGGACCAATCCCAAAATCTATATCTCGACTTGTCAATCTCAAGAGTTTAGATCTGGGCCATAACAGTCTCACAGGAACAATCCCAGAATCTATCTCTGGACTTGTCAATCTAACAGGTTTAGATCTTAGCCATAACAGCCTCGTAGGAACAATCCCTGAATCTATGTCCAAATTAGTATCCCTCTCTGATCTTGATCTCTCTTACAATAAGTTGGAAGGTCAAGTACCTAGTTTCTTTTGGAATCTATCTTCGTTGACGCTTTCTCATAACTCTTTCAGTAGCTTAGAAAATTCACTGGAAGTTGTCGTCAATGGACATCTCTTTGATCTTGGTTCAAATTCACTGCAAGGACAATTTCCTCAATGGATTTGTAACTCTACATCATTAGGAGTATTAGATCTTTCCAACAACCATCTCACTGGCACCATTCCTTCATGCTTGAAAAAATCCACTGCTCTTATATATATGAATCTAAGAAACAACAAATTTACCGGAGTTCTTCCAGATATCTTTGTCGACGCCACCGTGTTACGATCACTAGACGTAAGCGGCAACCAGTTGGTTGGGAAGCTTCCAAAATCTTTGATGAATTGCAGCAATTTGAAATTTCTGAATGTCAAAGGAAACAAGATTAAGGACACGTTTCCATCTTGGTTGCAGTCTTTGGGGTCGTTACACGTTCTTCTACTCGGATCAAATGCATTTTACGGTCCAATCTATAGCTCCAATGCATCTTTCGGGTTTCCAGCTCTGCGAGTCATGGACATTTCGCATAATAGCTTCAATGGAACGTTGCCAACAGATTATTTTGCGGATTGGCTTGAAATGTCAGCGGTGTCGATAGATCACATCAAGTGGTATCAAAGCGACAGTCCATATTCGGGCGGAACTGCTTTTCCAGATTCGATGGATATGATATACAAAGGAGTAGAAACAGAGTTTCCGCAGATATTACTTGAATACAAAGCAATAGATTTTTCAGGAAATAAATTCCAAGGAAGGATTCCTAAATCCATTGGCATGTTGAAAGGGCTGCGTCTTCTCAACTTGTCAGGTAATGCACTCACAGGCAATATCCCATCATCACTGGCAAATATAACAAATCTCGAGGCACTAGACCTCTCTCGCAATAAGCTTTCAGGCCAAATTCCTCATGATCTTAGCAATCTCTCCTTCCTTTCATACTTGGACTTTTCCCACAACCTTCTCCATGGTCCAGTGCCGCGGGGTACGCAGTTTCAACGACAAAAGTGTTCTTCATTCGAGGGCAACCTCGGTCTCTATGGTCTCGAGGATATCTGCGGAGAGATCCTTGTTCCAGATGCAACATCGCAACAACCCGAGGACTTTTCGTCTGAGCCAGAACAAGTGTTGAACTGGATAGCAGCTGCAATCGCCTATGGACCTGGTTTGTTCTGCGGATTGGTGATCGGACATATCTTCACTTCACACAAACACGAATGGTTCATGGAAAAGCTTGGTCGAAACAAGCCCCGTGGCGTCATGAGTGTTCGTTAAGCCTATGTCTTCTTAAGAATTTTGGAAGTGTGTACTCCGGTAACTTGTTCGTCAAGTGTTGTGTTTGTAATTTTCTGTTTCAAGGTTTTGTAATAAACATTGTTGGTCTAATTGTAATGGTCTTATCATTTTGTAGTACAAAAATTTGCACCACATGACACTTTTTACCACTTTTATAACCCTTCGAAATTTGGAGAGACTTGCATAAATCTTTTCCAAACGAGGTTTACATCGAATTAAAGTATTTAGGACTTGCTTAAACATCTAAGAAAAGCACATAATGAAAAAATTCTTCTTTTACATAAAGAAAACCCTTCAACTTAACATCTCGAGTTTTCAACAAGTTCTGAGATTCTGGGCAATGTCGGGAAAATTCATTATTACTTGCCGTTGGTTTTGCCTAAAGACGTGAAGTTCAATCTACGGACAACAAAGAACAAACAAACGTTGCCAAATCCGATATACAGATTCAAATGAAGTATATAAACACAAACCACTTACTTGATTATCGGCTTTCGCTGCTGGACTGAATCTCTATGTGTCACCTCGGGCTGTCGCATTGGAAGAACCTTTAAAAGAAGAAAAATCAGACAAGAACAAAATCAAGAGACCTGTTCAAGTATCGAAATTGATTTATAAAGAAAACGAACCTCGAGTTCTTCCACTGCTTCTTTGGAGAATGGTGAGCCATTTAAAGTAGTCGCTTCTAATGGAGGTATAGTAGCAGTAGCCGCCGGGGCTGCATCTTTATTAGATATCTGTTGAATCACTTGATTTCCAAAATCAAAACTGTCTTCAAGCTCCTCAGTTTCTTGACTAGGAGCTTGAGGAGGAGTTAATATCTTCTCAATCGGAAAACTCTCTGGTGGATCCTTACGAAAAACAACAACATTCTCTGGTGGATCCTTCATGATAGGATCAGATTTACCGTTTGTACAATAATCTTTCGTAGGACTTGAACAAATGGATCCAACAGACGGATCTGGGCTCCCGCCTTCACAATTCTCTACAGGCACTGATTCAGCAACGTGTTTTACGTTCCTTAATTGGTCAGTGAGTGTTTCATCATCTCCCCATTTTCTCTTCTTCCCATCTCCTGGACTGTTAGAACCAGCTTTACTTTCAGAACTCATTTCACTAATACTAGCTGTTGCATTTGAAGAAGAAATTCTATGCTCCGAACGGCGTTTGCTGTCCCATGTTCCTTTCGTAGCATGCGAAGGTCTAATTCCACCAGGAAACACAAAACTAGGTAAGCTTCTCCGCTTTATATGGCTGACATTAATCTCCATCCCGGGAATCCACAATATGTAGCCGTGAACAGTGTGTTTAAACTCCTCAACGGTTCTTCTGATATCGAATTGCTCGCCTTCTGCTGCTGGAACTCCTTGTTTGCGCTGCAGACCCATGAAGTAAGAGCAATTGAGTGGTCGGGATGCATCTTGAAAATCATGTGGATGAGGGTGGCATTGAAGCATGTTATAAGTATGTCTTTCAATCTAACAGTACAATGTGAATATCAGAGTCAAATAAGCAGTGATTATATACAAAATTTTACGTCAACTGAGAATAACCAAGAGTTTTCACCTTCAGTGTGAGCTGTCTGAGACGTGACTCAACCCAGCCTTTCCATTTTCTTAGATCATCAACATTAGCAGCAGCGATGTCGATCTGAAGATAGTTTTTATACGCTTCAAAGAATGCAAATGGCTCAAAAAGGGTATCCCAGTCAGCTTTGTTTGTTTCCATAGCCTGCAAGACATCAACCAATTGTTTTAAGTCAAATTATCTGCACAGAAGCCAAAACTATAAGGACTATCTTAATCTTACCTCGCATATGTCTTTGCCTCTCTGAAACTCTCCTGTCATAATTCGTAATGTACTTGCAGAGACATTATAACTGGAGTTCATACAAGGATAAGCGGGAGTAATGATGGGCATTATGTGCAACCGGTCCTTTGGGTTTCTTCTAGGATCCCAAACTTGAAGACCAAGGGATCCTTCATCCATAGAACAAAGAAGAACGGGATTTGGCCAACGCCATTGAGTGTAGACCCTAAAGAACCGAGACGCTAACATATTTGGGAGGGCGTTAGGGTAAAGTTGACATATCCTAGCTACAAGCAATGCCCAGTTTATACCACCAAGAAATCCAGAGACCTAGCAATTATCAGAAAGAGACTTGACTTAAGCAACATGAAAGTGACATAAACGAAATGGAGTAAAAGAGCTCTAGAGAAGAAGTCTCCATACATTAGAGTATACTCCACGTCGCTTGGCCCAAAACCGCATGCATCTTAATGTTGTCCTGAAATGCTGCTCATAAACAAAACATAGATTCCAACTAGTATATCAACCGGATGAATTATAATTTTTTTTGTAAAATTAAGAGATGGATCCTCAGTGAGCACAAAACCTGAATGTTAGGAACCAGACGCAAGATCTGGTCAGTAACTCTACAACCGTTGAGGCTTCGAACAGTTTGCTCATCAGCATTTTGTAGAATGGAATCCTGTGATATATCTAAGTCCTACACCATTAACATCAGACAAGGAAGACAGTTAAGATTCCATAGAAGGGATAAAACCAGAACTCCAGATTCACAAAATACATCCATTCAAAATCATGAACATATCCAAAAATTGTGTTATACCAAGACACTATTTGATTGTAATTAGTAGGAATGGGCTTTTGGGGTCGAATTCTATGAGTTAAAAGCAAATAATCTGTGGAATCTATTTTCTTGATATGGCTAAGATATAAAATCCTCATTGATTAAAGAATCACCTCACTGTAAATCAAGAATTACCTCAGGTATAACCCAGAGTGGAAGTTGTGCATAGAGGAGATCTATGGAAACTCCGTTAAGTTTGAATCCCATCAATGGAACATGAGCATCAGGAACAGGGTGCAGCTCAGTTACTTCAGGCATTTCCGACAGCATTCTTTGTAACTCACCAAAAAAATCACCCTAATGGCAATATAAAGAACGAATATTGAACTCAATACATCGATAGAAGAAATATCGTACATATGCAAGAAAGACAATAATAGTACTTCTCTAGTTGCATGTCTAGGTCCCACGCATAAAGTGTCTATATCAGCACCAGGTCCATGTACCTATTTGAAATTGTAAAACAAACTGTTATAGAAACACTCGATATGCTAGAAAATGGATGTTAGAAAGTACAATCACAACTGTAAAGTAATTCTTTAGGGGACTGAAGATTTAAGAACAAAATTCTCTTTCCAAGAACCAATCGCAACTGTAAATTACACCCTAGTGTGTCCGAGATGTACCAACAATTGAAATGCCTGAAAAGCTCATACAAACATGATTCAAGTGACATATATAACATTGATCTCAATGTGTTTGAATGCACACAAAGAGCACGTGAAGACAAGTGATTCCACTTATGACACATGAACATCTAAAGACATCAGAAAAAAAAACACAGCTTTCATCAATTCACGATTTTTCCTTTCCCTCTACACCAAAGAGTTCACAATACAAGAAGAATGAGTAAAACAAAGTTAATCTTCTATAGATCTTTATGGTTACCCCTAGCCGATAAGAACCGAAAGTAAATATCTTTGCATTCGCCTCGTGAAGCAGCTGATCATTCAACCCTTTGGCGCGGCTGATTGTTTTAATCCATGTTTTTACAATCTGGACACATAAACAAATAAGAATTACCATGCGTTTATTACAAGCATTGATCAAAAATCCATAAGCAACAAGTTTTCAGACTTCAAGACACTAAAAAAAAAACCTGATCTAGTCTCCCCAGAACCTCCTCCCTTCTAACAGCTTCCTCCTTACTCTCGTACAATCCAACATCTTGCAAGTACTG